TTTTTTAAAAATAAAAATTCCAATCCTTTAAATTATTATTTATTCTTAAAATAACTCTATCAATTTAATTTTCGTTGTTTTATTGTTTTATTCATTTTAACTTTTTCATTCATAATTTTTGTGACAGTTTCAAGAATGTATTTGTTATTTGAATATGAGCAACTGGCAAAAACTAAATCAATGCTTTTAAAATGTCTTATTTATCCTGTCCCAATGGAATTTTACAAATCGATAAGGGCAAAATGTAAAATTGCTGACAATCATTTTTGAAATCAAATGAATGCCATACAATTTAGTAAATGAAAGTAAACATTAGGAATGATTTGCTAATTATTGTTTTGTCTAAATTTGAATGTTTGGTTGACTGGTAGATGTAATTGAACAAATTAAACCATTTATAGTACTTTTACCAGTTTTTCTTTTAAACTGAAAAGAAGTTTTTCGTTTTCTACTAAGAAAAATAAACGATGAGTCATTTCTTTCTTTCATTAACACTAATTAATACGACAAATTTTAACTGAAAATCCTTTTAAGTTCAATTAAATGAACTATGATCGTCCCTTTCTTGCTAATATTATTAATTTAGAATAAAGCTGTCAGGAAGATAAAAAAAAAAAGTAACGAAAGAATATATTTAAAAAAAATTTACCACTAAAAGATTTAGTAATTAAAGAAAGGAAAATGTAAAAATTTGCATTATTTAATTAATTAATGGAATTAACTAATTAAATGCAAAACTTTAATATTTTAACTTTAATAAAATAAAATTTTGAATTCTGAAAAAGCTTTACTTTTAAGTAAAGCCAAAATAACGCTTTTATGAGAGTGTAAAAAACAAATTTCACAAAAATATTCAATTTTTCAGAAAGCTTAAAGTTTTTATTTTAATAAGATAAATTAATTAAGCTTTGTACTTAAATACTTAATTAATTTTGTCTGTGAAAATTGTTACATTTTCTTTATTTCTTTAAAAAAGTTTAAAAATTCAGCATTAAAAAACAGTTAAATATTAAATTTTTGACAGTTAATTAATTTATGCTAATTTTTACATTATCTTATTGTCTTTAATTACTGTTATTTATTACTTAATACAATCTCCTATTGTCTTTAATTACTATCACTTATTACCTAATTTGCTTGCATTCATTTCATTTTATAATTATTATTCATTTCGAATATTATCACTTTGTTGTTGCCAATTGTGTGAAAATTTTGACAAATAATATTACAAATAAATTAGAATAAAAATTTGAAAACCATTTCAATTATGTAATTACTCATTCTATCTTAATTAGTTTTTTATTTAAAGTAACCTTAAATACTTCCATTTGCAGCAATAATGAATTCCCCGATGAAAAAGCACTTTTTCAACATCGTAACAATCCATCTATATTATATCAATTCAAAATTCAAATTGCAATATTTAACCTGAAATTAATGAAATGAAAAGTTTTGGAATTATTAAATTAAAAAGTTTTATTGTTGTAAAATTATAAAAACTATTAAACAAATTTTTATTGTCTTATCTAAATTGAAGCCTTCTATCACTTCCTAACTTACTACTAATATTTAAACTAATTCTTAACATTTCAAAACTTTTAATTTCAATAACGAATTAAATAAATTATTTAATGGCTGTTATTGTTTTCTTATTTATTTAAATTTCATGCAAAGAAACTTAATCCATTAAAGTGAAAATCAAATTAAAATTGTTATTAAGAATTAGGAAAAGTGTACCAAAGCAATTTTTGAATTTTACTGCAAATAAATAATTCAGACGTATTTTATATCATTCAACAGAAACAACAACAACAACAACAACAACAACAACAACAACAACCAACAGAAACAAAAACAACAAACAACACCAATGAAATCACTTCCTATTTTGGTCATTTAAAAATGTGAATTCTGCAAAAAGCTTTACTTAAAATGCTTTTATGAAAAATGTAAAAAATAAATTTCACAAAAAGAAAAACATTCAATTTTTCCGTAAGCTTAAATTTATTCGAAAGTTTTGTTTGAATTTAATTTTTTTTAGGAAAAATTATTTTATTTGATGGAAAATATTTCTTTCTTAGCTATTTATATTGATATTTTAATTAACATTTATAAGCAATAAATTATACATTAAATGATATTTAAACTTTTAAATTCCTTTATATTGTTCATATTTTTAAATGAAAATTTTTTTCATTTTTTAAAATTCGGAACAGCATCGTAGAAAACTGATACGAAGGAATCATCATAGGTTTAAAATAATCATAAGTTATCACAAGTTTAAAACACTAAATTATCATAAGTTTAACAGAATCATAAGTTTATCATAAGTTTAAAAGAATCATAAGTTTATCATAAGCTTAAAATATTGAAATATGTCATAAGTTTAAAATAATCATAATTTATCTTAAGTTTACCAAAAGTTTAAAATACAGAATTATCATAGCTTTAAAATAATCATGAGTTTATCGTAAGTTTATCAAAAGTATAAAATAGTTAAATTATCATAAGTTTAAAATGTTGATCTATAAAATACAAAGAATTACAAAGAGTGAATGGAAAAGCATGAATTTTAGGAATTTTCAAAATTTAGTTTGAATTCAAAAATGAAACAATGAAAACTTCAAATATTTTAACCGCCTAGTAAAAACTCTTTGTACCTTTTCTTTTCATTACTTTTACATTTTTTGTGAAATACTAGAATTTCAATTATCACTACTGCAACATGCATTCAGTGGTGAAGTTTGCTTTCAAATTATCACTACTGCAACATGCATTCAGTAGTAAAGTTTGCAAATTGCAGAATAAAATATGGAATTATGATAATTAGATTGAAATATATTACATTATCCGGTCTATTTCAGGATCGCTAAATTCCATCAATTGATAATTTCTTTCTAATTCATTTTTCAGCTACTTTGATAATGTTGCTGTAACATATTTTCAGTAGTGAAATTTGCAAATTGCTTTGAATAAAATATGGAATTATGATAATTAGATGGAAATATGCTAGATTATCCGGTCTATTTCAGGATTGCCAAATTTCATCAGCTGATAATTTTTTGCTAATTCACTTTTTAGTTACTCTGATGATGTTTTGCATGTTTTTAACAGTTGTAAATTTGGAACTATTAATTAGTAAAAAAATTGAACTGAACTGTCAAAAAAAGGAAATATTGAATAAAATAAAAATAAAATTCCACTACAATAATTATTATATTATATTGAATAGGCCTATTAAGTCAGAATACTCTCACAGTGATTTTAAAAAATATATACCTTCCTATTTTATTGCTATTCTTTAATTTCAATTTTGTTAAATTTAAAAAAAGAAATTTAAAATTAGTTGACAAATTCGTTGACTGTTTTGTTTACTACTCATACACATTTTATTCACTTCAAATTTTGCAATCATCAAATAAACTTTATATTTGGATCGGATTAGTATATTTGTTTGAACTTCTTATTTATTGTTATTGTCTGTTCCGGTTTTGGCTAGTTTTCTTTTGTTTTTTATTACTTAATCATAATTTTTTTTACATCCTTTTATATATTTTACAAATGCATTTTTGTTCTTTCAAATTTTTAACGTTCAATTTTCAGATTTGAAATGTTATTTAAAATTAATTATTCTCGAAGTTCATATTATACAACAAATCAGTATTTACTGCTAAAAAGCAATTCTGATATTTTATTGATTTCAATTTCTAATATGATCGAATAATTTTTGCATACACAAAATGCAACATTTAAATTTCTCAAAATTTACGAAATATTGACTAATTAAAAAGAATGAAAAAAACACAAATACCGGAATTATTCCGTATCATAACTTAATTTTAAATTTTCCGGATCACTATGAAAGTATACATACGATTTTGTGAAATTGCGCAGTTAAGTGAATACAAATACCGCCATGACGCAATAGTCAAGCAATCCTTCCTATTTCTCCATTTCACAAATAGGCGTGGTTAATTATCTATCAAAGCCAAAAGGATATGACATACAATCTAGGCTTGTCTATCAACGAAGATCGGTGACGGTTGGTTCTGCTCAAATTTTCCACAAAATATCATCTTTCATTTTATCAATAATTTTTAGGCTAAATATATTTATTATCAAAAGGTCATATGTCAATTTTTATAAATAACTTTTCAGACTAAGTATGTTTATTTTATTAAGTATATTTATTATCAAAAAGTCATATGTATTTGTTCACCTTATCAATAACTTATCAATCTAAAGTATATTTATTATCGAAAAGTCATATGTATTTGTTCACCTTATCAATAACTTATCAATCTAAAGTATATTTATTATCAAAAAGTATTTGTGTTCGTTCACTTTATCAATAACTTTATAACTTTTCAGTCTAAAGTATATTTTTTTTATCAAAAGGTTATATATCAATTTTATCAATAATTCGTCCGTCTAAAGTATACTTATTACCAAGAGAAGTCATATGAATTAATTATCAATTTTTGATTAATATATTTAAATCAATTGTTTTAAATATTTTCTCTATTTCCTGTTTTTCTTTAGATGTTTTATTTTTATTACTTAAATGAAATTACTGTAATTAATTTCTTGTAATTGATTTCTATATATTTCTATAAGATATATATATATACATATATAAATATATGTATATATATATATATCATTTTATTGAAATATTTTCAGGATAAATCTTTTTATCATTTTTCCAAATGTCGAAATTATTATTTGATCTCTTCTCATTCTCAAAATAATTTCTTCAAATGAATTATTTGTCAAAATAAATAAATCTATTCATCATATCAGAATCATATCATATCACATCATATCATATCAATTTCTATATCACATCATATCATACCAATTTCTCTATTGACTTGTTCAATTTTGAAATTTTTCAAAATTTTTTTTCTATGAATTTCTAAAATTTTACTTCAAGTAAAATAATTTAGACGAACTGTATAATTTTGGATATTTTTTTATTGATGGGTTTTTATATAATAATGTTTGCTGCCTGGTCATCATTAATCACTGAAAATTTTGTTATAACAATTGATGATAACGATTATGAATATTTGGATAATGATTTTGATGAGAAACAAAAACCGGCTGATATCTTCTGGGGTGATATTTTGGATGATGAAGAAACAAAAGAGCAAAATGATTCAACCGGTAAAAAGAGTGCTGCTATAGAACGGCGAAAATGTAGCACGGAAACGGTTATCATGGATAAATTACTCAATGGTACTGATTATAGCAAATATCGTCTTCCATGTAAGTATTTAATAATTGTTGAAATATTTCAAATGTAAATTCTTTTGTTTTCGTTTCAAAAATTAATTAAAAAATTAATTTAAAGAAAAATTTTTGAAATTTGCCTTTTTACATTGAATAGTTTGTTATATATAAGAAATCCTTTCAAATTAATTAAAATAATTAAAACTTATTCACCGAATTTTTTCAAATGAAAAAAAATGGGAAAAAGATTTTGCTTCGAAAAATTAAAAAATTGCTTTTCTGCAATTTTTTCCGATCGTAAAAAAAAGAACTTAGGAAAGCATTTTTGCTAAATTGTCTTTTAATGGCATTTTCAACTTTGAAATTATAATAATTAGCTGATGTATCCGACATGATAATGATAAATAAGAAGAAAACAAAAAAAAAATGTGCGCATAATAAATGACAATGTCGTGGTACTTCATGTAATTCATTTTCAATAGAAATTTCTAAATTTAATTTGTTAAAAAAATTATTATCAAATAAATTTATTAACTTATTTTAAAATTTAATTTATTAAAAAAAACAATTATTATCATTAAAAAAATTTATCAATTATCATTAAATTGGCAACACTTGACTAATTTGTCAAACAACTGATATATGAATTATTACTT